TTTCTGGCTCTTCCTCCCAGGCTCACAGGGTGTGACAAGAGAAGAGGAAATGTGTTAGAGATGGGAGGACGGGTTTGGAGCCCCGCTGCCTGACTCCCCCAGCACTTCCCCTTGCAAGCTGTGTGACTTTGGGCTGATTACTTGACCTCTCAGTGCCTCCACATCCTCATGGGAAATGGGGATCATAGCAGAACTTTCCTCCCAGCACTGCCCAGGGGACTGAAGAGGGTGTGATGTGTTTGTGAGGTCATCTCGTCTTATTTCTGCTACCTATCAGCCGCGGCCAGCTCTTCACGGCACACCTCAGCCCTGACAGGGACCCCAGGGCAGCGGTCCCCAACCCGGCTGCCCCTGGAAAGACCCAGAGCCCATGTCCAGCCTGCACACGGGAGCCAGTCTCGGAATCTCTGAATGGTGCAGGGCACGGCTGGGGCAGCAACAGTCCCTAAAGCTTCCCGGGTGATTCCAAGCAATGGGCAGCCGGGGCTGACAACCGCGACCCTAGGGGTCCTAGAGACCATCAAACCCCACAGCCGTGGTTCTCAAACTGGTCCCGCATCGCTGGCACCTAGGGGTCCTTTGAAAATGCAGCTTGCTGGGCCCCACCCCCAAAGGGGTTCTGTAGGTCTAGGGTGGGCCCGAGAATGTGTATCTAGTTCTCAGGAGACGTTGACGCAGCTGGACCAGGACCTGACTTTGAGATCCGCTGTCCTGCAGGAAAGTCCGCTTTCCCCAGCCTGGCGTTCAAAGACCAGGGAGGCCAGTCCCTTTAAGGCGCTGTGCCAGTGCCCAGAGCACTGGGGAAGCGCCATGGCCCGCACGATTTCAAACGGCGGAACTGGGGTGCCCCCTGGTGGAATCAGCGGGCACCGCAACTCGCGCGGATTCTTCGCCCGCTCTGGAGTCTAGGTTGTGGGGGCAACCGGAAGGGTCATCGTCTGCGGCCCCTCTTCCCTCCTGGCAGTTCTAGGACGTGGCCACATTCCCAGGAGTCTGAGGATCGCTCATCTCCCGCTTAAGCAGGCGGAGGGGCCAAGACACTTTCTGCCTCTAGAGGAAATGATCTTGACCCCAGGATGCTTCGCGGTGGGAGGGGGCGGGGGGAGGGGAAAAAGGGAAGGAGTGAGAGAGGGTCTGGGGTCTGGACCCCAGGATACCTTGGCCTCACCCTCGGGGGGGGGGACCATTCCGTCCCTCCCCTGGGACCAGGAGGGCCTATTTTTCGAGGGAGCCGTAGAGTAAGACAAACGTGGGTTGGAGGTCCCTTCCTTGCCTCTCTGAGCCTCGGTTTCTCTATCTGGGAAATGGGGGTGAAAACCTGCCTTCATCCTCTCCCCTCTTTCATCCTGCCCTCCTCTCTACAGAGCCAAATAAAGACGCATAGACATATACATTCGAATGTGTCCACCCCCAGATCTACACAGACACACACACACACAGACACACACACACACAGAGACCCACACACAGACACACACAGACACACAGACACACACACACACACACACACACACACACACACACACAAAACCTCAGCCTGCCAGTCACCCGGTCAGCTGAAATCACGCTCCTGAAAACTCTTCACCCACTTCCTGCCATCCCCACTACCCTGAGCCAGTCCAGCCTTAGGCCTGTCCGCCAGGTTCCTGCCCCAGCCTCCTCCTGCTCCAGCCTTGCACCCTGCACACGGCAGACCTAAAGCACAAACCTCTCCCTCTCCTGCTCAAATCCCTTCCATGGCTCCCCAGCGCTTAACGAGGCCCTAAGGCCCTGCCAGTCTGCACGCCCTACTCCAGCGACCTCTTCTTGCTCATTTGCTGCCTCAGGTGGAAAATCCAGCCAGACAGCACCACCATGGGGGCAGGCGGCCTTCTTTGGCGTCACTGCCTCCGCTCCACGGGAGGGGCAGTAATTACACGCTAATAACCCCCTATAGTCATATCCTTGGCCTGGAGTTTTTGCCCTGGCTCTTCCTACACCCGGGTCATGCACTTCCCCCAGGCAACCGCTGCTGCACCTCCTTCGGGTCTTTGCAACATTGAGAGACTCCGTCTCTACAAAAAACACAAAAAGTAGCGAGGCTTGGTGGCGCGTGCCTGTGGTCCCAGCTACTCCAGAGGGAGGCTGAAGTGGGAGGATCGCTTGAGCCCAGCAGTTCGAGGCTGCAGTGAGCCGTGATCGCGCCACACTTGTCATCTTCTCAGTGAGGGCTTCCCAGGCCGCCCCGTTTATGACGACTGTAAACCTTCTCCTGTCCCGGTCCTCCTCGGGCCCCTGCTTGCTCGACTTTTGTTTCAGGTCTCATCCCCTAATGCATGGATTTCGTCCTCATCTAGGGAGCATAACCCCAACCTCCCCACCGCATGCTCCCTGCGGGAGGGTCCTGTTTCCTACACCTAGAACAGGGCCTGGGACGCACCTGCCCTGGATAAATCTCATGGACTGCGCGGATGGCGCTGCGGGCTCCTCCCGGACTGTCGCCTTCTCTCCCAGGAGGGGGCAGCCGCGCTCCGCTCCACCCGCCGCCAGAGGCTCCACGAGCGGGACAGACCGGCTGCTGCCGCCTGTGCTGGTCTCTGTGCGCCGGGACCCTTCCCTGCCGGACCTCAAGGCCTTTACGCGGCTGCTTCTTCGACCGCAAACGCTCCTCCCCATCCCCTCGGGAACACTCCCTCCAGGAATGAGGGAATGAAAACAGTATTTCTTTCCAGCACATTCCCCACCAGGCGTGTCTGGGGTCTGACTCCCCCAGTCCACGTGGTTCATTCCGACCGTCAGTCATTCAACAAGGAACAGCAGCCGCCTCGTGCCAGGCACGGTGCTGGGGCTGTGGACACGAACGGGACAGGCCAAGACACACTTTCTCCCTACGGAGCTGGCCCTGAGCCGCTCTGCGGCGCCTCTCCCCGCCACGCCTACCTGCCCCCATGCCGCATAGGTCCCCACAGTCACAGCTCAAGGTCCTCTGCAGGGGCTGGGAGACCACGGGCGCTGGGGGCAGTTGGAAAGCAGGAGGAAAGGGACGCCATTTGGGGTAATGTTAGGGCTGCAGTGGCAGCAGCAGCTGGCGGTCACTGCGGTGAACCAGGGGCTCCCGGGTCGCGCCTCAAGCAAGCCGGCCCCGTGCGTGGAACTTGGCAGTCCTACCCCCGGACTCTGACCAGCAGCATTTCCCACGTGGCTCCTCCAGCCCTCGGGAGGGAGCAGCTCCCTGCATTGCTAATATTGGGACAAACCGACCTCCCTGTTTTTGCACTTCCTGGTTGCAATACCCCAGTCACCAACTTCCTCTATTAACCTCCCTGACAAGTACAGTCGGTGCGCTACTGAGAAACAAATGAGTGTGCCGGGGGCAGTCACAGCTCTGAAAAATAAAGGGAGGAAGTGCAGAAAGGGTTACTTATTTTTTTTTTTTTTGAGACGGAGTCTTGCTCTGTCACCCAGGCTGGAGCATAGCAGCCCAATCTCGGCTCACTGCAACTTCTGCCTCCCGGGTTCAAGCGATTCTTCTGCCTCAGCCTCCCAAGTAGCTGGGATTACAGGTGTGTACCACCACATCAGACTAATTTTTGTATTTTTAGTAGAGACAAGGTTTCACCATCTTGGCCAGGCTGGTCTTGAATTCCTGACCTCATGATCCACCCGCCTCAGCCTCCCAAAGTGCTGGGATTACAGGCGTGAGCCAGCGTGCCTGGCCTGCCAGAAAGAGTTACATTTTTATAGGTGGTCAGGGAAGCCCTCCCTGGGAATGTGACATTTGAAGAAAGGTCTGAATGTCTCGAAGGTGGGAGCCACGCCTATAGCCCGAGGAAAGGCACTCCAGGCTGCAGGAAGAGCAGTGCAAAGGCCCTGAGGCAGGAATATGCCTGGTGTGCCCTGGAGACCTGGGTGGCTGAAGCCACAGGAGACACAGAGAGGGCAGTGGGAAACGAGGCAGAGGGTGAGATGGGGGTAGAGTGTGTAGACCTGAGCTGTGCAGGAGAGCTGTGTGCAATGGTGGCAATGTCCCGCACCAGTGCTGTACAATGTGGTAGCCACTGGCCACGTGTGGCTCTTGAGCACTTGTGACGTGGCTGGGAAGACTGAGGACATGCATGTGTAATTTTATTTAATCTGAATTACATTTAAATCCAATTTGCCCCATGTGATTACCTAGTTGAACAAAGCATGGGTTTTTTTTGTTTTTTTGTTTTTTGAAATGGAGTCTCGCTCTGTTGCCCAGGCTGGAGTGCAGTGGCCGGATCTCAGCTCACTGCAAGCTCCGCCTCCCGGGTTTACGCCATTCTTCCGCCTCAGCCTCCCGAGTAGCTGGGACTACAGGCGCCCGCCACCTCCCCCGGCTAGATTTTTGTATTTTTTAGTAGAGACGGGGTTTCATCGTGTTAGCCAGGATGGTCTCAATCTCCTGACCTCGTGATCCGCCCGTCTCAGCCTCCCAAAGTGCTGGGATTACAGGTTTGAGCCACCGCGCCCGGCCCAAAGCATGTTGTTGAACAGACCCCAGTTGAACAGATCCCCAGGTGTGACTTCTGAGAGGACTCCTCTGGCAGCCATGTGTGGTGGGGGGGACACGGGATGGAGGGAGGCAGAAAACTCAGGTAGGATGGAAGGCTGAGGCTGAGGTCCAGGGCGCAGGCTAGGGGTGGAGGCTGGGGGGTGGGTACATGCAGCTGTGGCCTCGCAGAGTGTATCTGGGTGGAAGCTATGGTGGCGATTGGCTGGGCAGGGTCTCCATGGATGTCCAGGGGCTTCTGAGCTGAGGCTGAGGCCTGAGGCTCAGAAGGGGTGGGAGTGGAAGCTGGCTCAGATCTGCAGGGGTGAAATGCTGCTGCTGGGTAGGGAGAGTCAGGCAGGGAGCCTGAAGCAGCAAAGGACAGTGTATGTAAACTAGTGACAGGACAGTTCCCAGGTGTTCTGGGCAAACCACAGTCCAGACCGTGGACATCTGTGGCCCACGCTCCCACATTCCCCCTGTCCCATCGCCCAGAGCACAGAGAGAGCACAGTGCTGAATTTCACTTTACTGGATGATCCAGGTGACACAGTGCACAGGGACAGAAGTTTAGGACCGCTACGGGAGAAGCACACCTGGGGCCCTCTCCACCCACAGGCAACACCACAGGCTGCTGTGCCCAGCTCTAGGCGCACCTGGCCTGGTCCTCAGTGGGTGGGTCGCCATCCAGGAACAGCCTCCAAGCAGGGAGGAGCACCCATGCCCTGCAGCACGTCTCAGACAGCATCTGCATCTGGGTGTCCCTGACATGGGACTGGGACAGTCTGGTCCGGGCTCTGAGGTCACACCCAGGCCCCCCATTCCTTCCCAGGGAGAAGCAGGGCAGGGCCCCCTGGCACGATGGGCTCCTCACTGCCAAGGGATAGAAATTGGGACGAGGAAACACACACATTACCCTAGGGACAAGAAGGCATGAACGAATGTGGGGTCCCGTGGAGACTGATATTTAGGGAAAAATCAAGCTCAGCAGGGGTTGGGGGAGCTGAAGCATACAGTACAGGACAGCACGGCGTGGACTCGCACACAACTCAAGCTTGCTTGGGACAGCAGGTGGTGAAGCCTCACAGCACTGGCCGCCTACTCTGGAAGCTCCGGGGAAGGGCTGGGGTTTCCTCCCCAGGTCATTTCATCCCCTGTAAGGAGGGACACGTGGCTGGCTTCTGCACTGCCCAGGCGAGCCTCTGTCTCTCACAGTGCCCTTCAGAGGCCCCTCTGGCTTTAATTCACTCAGGGGGTGAACCCAGGCATTTTCAAGGCCTTTAGTAAGTGCTGCAAGGCCAGTGCTGAGCGATGGGCCAGCTCCAGAGGATAGAGAGGACCAGGGGAGCCACAACCTATGGGAGGGGGCAAGGGCCCACGTAGCCCAGAAGAGCCAAAACTCTGGATTTTATGTGAATTACCCCAAATGGAACACCTCCACAAATAATTAGAATGTTGGGAAACACTGCAGTTTGAGTGACAAATTCAACTTGTGGTCGGGGCAGGTGGCCTTGGCCTGGAGCTGGTTCCTGTGTATCAGGGGCTTCCCGGTGGGCAGGGCTGGCATGCGTCTTCCCTCTGCTCTTCCTCCTCCCACTCCTCCTCCTCCTTCCCTTCCCCCACCGTTCCTCTCCCCTTTCCTCTTCCTTCCCTTCCCAACCGCCTTCTCTCTCTCAGCCTGTCCTTTCTGGAATCATCTCTTTCCCTGGCTGGGAGCTGGGGCCTCCCCTCGCTGAGAGTTGCGCCCTGACACGCGCTGTGCAGCTGGTGACTGAGCCTCCACCACAGACCCAGGGCAGAGTCTGACTGGGGTAGGGGCGACAGCAGCCGACAGTCCCTGCCAGGCGCAGGCCCCGAGAGCGCCACGAAGAGCCCTGCTCGCCTCTGCAGGTGCCTGGCGTCCACACACACACCCTGCGGGGGCGACCCGGGCCCCCCAGCCCTGGTCCACTCAGCGCGTCCCCATCTCGGCCCTGGGCTGCTGCCTCAGGCACCCACTTCTCCTTCCTCCTCCCATCCGGGCTTCCTCCGTCGGGATCGCTGGCGCTCCGAGCCCACTAGGGCCCGAGAGGGAAACGTGACGCCGGCAAAACGCGGCCCGGGCGTGCGGTGAAGCGAGGAGATCGCGTCTGCGGAGGGCAGGAAAAGGGAAGGGGAGGGCGGGGGCCACACTCGGGCAGGCGCCCTGCGGGGCCTGCTCGCAGCCTGGGCGGCTTCCCGGGGGGCCACTAGCGGCATTTGGGGGGCAGCCTCCGGCCCCGACGGGCCTTCTTCCCGCGTGCGGCCTTCGATCCAGTGGGCGCCTGGCCCTTGGCCTCGCCTGCCTTGGCATTGGCCCCGGCGCCCGCGCTCCCCTTCTTCTTCCGGCTTCCCGCGGCGTCGTCCTGGGCCGAGCCCCGGCTCCCGGCTTTCTTCTCGGGAGTGACGCCCCGGCCTCGGCCTCGGCCGCCCCCGCGGGTTTTGCGGGCCCCGGACGCGGTGGGGGGCGCGCCGGCCGGAGTCAGGCCCCTGGGGGCGGTGCGCGCCCTCTTGGCCCGGGGCTTCCTGGACGCCCTGTCCTCGGGCTCCGACGCCTCGCTCTCGGTGTCCTCCGACTCCTCCTCGGACTGTTCGTCCGAAGCCTCCTCTGACCCCTCGTTGGACCCCATGTTCTCCCGGGCGGCCAGGAGCGCCAATACCTCCCCCAGTTTGCCTTTGGGGTATTTGTACTTCCCACCTTCCCAGGCGTTTTCTTTTTCCTCCTTCATCACCTCCGCCATGTCCTGGGCAGCCAGGAGCGCCACCAGCTCCAGAAGGCCCCCCTCGTCCTCACCGTGCTCGCTCCAGCCCCCGAAGAGGCCACACCCAGCCTTCTTCGCCTGGGGAGGGAGATCTGGCTGCGCCAAGGTGGAAATGCACTCCCGGAGGTCCCCGTCGTCCCCGGCCTTGCGCAGGACCACGGCGTCCACCTCGCGGCCCGCCTCCTCCACCTTCACGCGGGTCCCGTTAGTGTCTTTGGACATAACGGACAAGACCTGTCGGAGGGCGTCTCGCTTGTCTTTCTCGTCGCTCCAGCCTAGAGACTCGATAACAGAAGCGATTTTCAACATCTCCTCCCGGGCCCAGGGGTCCGACGGGTCGGTATAGGCCACAATGGCCACGAACTCAGGATTATCCAACCCCTCTGTTTCTTGGTCCTCACTTTCCTGCGAGTCGCTCTCCGAAGCGTCGCTGTCCACCGGCTCCTCGTCCGGGGTGTCTCTCACAGCCAGCAGGGCCACTAAGTCGGGGACGCCATTTTTGTCTTCTTTGGTGTTCAAGCGGATGGATTCGGCTGCAGCTGGCTCCTTCTCTGCCTCTTCTTTCTTGGCTTTGTCGGTGACAGTGACCAGAGCCAAGAACTCGCGGGGACCATCTTCCCCCTCCGAGCTGCAGGGCGCCCACTGCCTAACCAGCTCCCTGGCAGCCGCCTGGAGCGTGGCGTACAGCGCACTCTGGTCCTCGTCTCCGCTCAGGTCCCCCTGGTCGATCTCCTCGATCACGATGCCCAGGCTCTCATCGGAAGAGTCCTCATCCTCACTCCTCGCGGAAGCAGACGGCCGCCCTCCTCGGCTTCTCTTCTTGCCCTTCTGGGTCAACCTGTTGCGTCTGGTTCTGTTTCTACGACCCCGACGGCCCCTCCTTGCGTTCCTGGCTGCCCCAAGAGGCGAGCCAGCCTGCCCTGTCACCTCCCCAGAATCCTGGGCCTGGGTCTCCGAAGCTGGAGGGGTGGGCGCCTCCCCGGGGGCCCCAGCCTCCGCGGCCTGCGGGGGTCCGTCATCCAGCAGCAGGCGTCTCATCTGCCTCAGGACCCTCGTGTCCTGCGCACGGTCCTTCCACAGAACCCTCCAGACCCCGTCCTTGCCTGGGATCTCCCTGGGAATGGCAGCGTGATTGACGTCCTCCACAAACTCCACCAGGGCGGCCTGGGCCTTCTCGTTCATCAAGCCCTTCATGTGTCGCAACCTGAACGTGCCCAGGGGCAGGAGGGTCGGCTGCAGGACGGCTTCAACGTCTGCCTGCTCCAGGCCCTCCGGGATGCCAGTGACCAGCAGGGCCCTATGCGCGTCCACGTCCAGGCTCCGGCACCAGTCCTGCAAAATGCTCATGGCCATGGTGCCGCCCCCTCGGCGCTGATCTTGGAGCAGCAGGGAGCCCGAGATAGGGGTGGGCTGCAGCGCACGGTGTCAATGCAACCCTGGCAAGCCACCCGCAGGGCTTAGAGTCCCGGTTCCGGTGAATGTGGCAAGGCTGGAGTGGGGCTCGGGCCTCGGGGGTTCTAGCTACCTGCTGGCCGGCTGGACGCAGTGACCCTCCCCCGGGACCCCTCTCCAGAGCTGTCTGAGGATCCGCAGGGGGCTTACGTGTCTGCTTTCCAGGGCAGCTCCCTCCCTCTCTGACAGAGGCCTGAGTGACTCGGCACCGCGACCAGGTGCAGGGGGGCGGCGCCGAGTGCACCTGGAGGGGCGTGGGAGGTGGAAGCCGCCGCTTGCCTGGCGCTCGCGCGGCGTCTGAGCGCGCACCCTGAGCCTGAATCTCAGCAGTTCCGCTGCGACGCGGCTGCTCCGGCCTGCGCCTGCGCAGACGGAGCCGCACGCCCTCCCCTGTCCCCCGCCCAACCGTCTCCATGGCAACGGTGCAGCCTTGAGCTGGGGTCTGCGTCGCTGTGGCCTGAGACGCTTCTCTTAAAGGTCCCGATGAGAAGGACTTGGGGCCTGGAAGCACCACTTTCATTAACCAGCAAAAAACGCCGAAACCACAGAGGGCCAGAAATCATTCGAGGAGACCCGACCTCATTCAGGGGATATGAAGCCTCCTTCCAGGGGGTACAGGCTTCACTGGGGGTTACAATTCCCTCTTCCAGTGGCGAGGTGGAATTCAGGATTATATAGGCCTAAATCAAGGGGCACTGGCCTTGTAGCGTGGGACCACGACTTACTCGGGATACTGGCCTCATTCACAGTATACGGGTCTCAGTATCAAATAGGGGGGCCCAGGCGCCATCTGTGAGCAAGACACCATTCAGGGTATATGGGCCTCACTTGCAGGGTACAGGCCCCACTCAATGGCACCTGCCCTCACTCCCACACACGTTCCTGTATTCTGAACTATGCATGCACAATAAATCCTGTGGTTTTGCACACGCTTTGAGCATATGTATAATTGTTAGACCTGCCATGAATTTTGCAAGAAAGCATTTCCCTTGACAGGGACAGCAGACTGGGGCCTGTGAACGTCAGTCATAGCTACTGTAAACATGCATTTGCTTCTCTGTCCCTTGTTGGCCATAAGGCTGTCCCCTACTCTATATGAATCTGGCTCTGTAGCCCAGCTGGTAGGTTTATATCTCAACCATCATCCCTACCTCAAAGGGTTTTTTTGTTTTGTTTTTGTGGTGTTTTGTTTTGTTTTGTTTTGTTTTTGAGATGGAGTCTTGCTCTGTCATCCAGGCTGGAGTGCAATGGCACAATCATGGTTCACTTCAACTTCCACCTCCCAGGTTCAAGCGATTCTCCTGCCTCAGCCTCCTAAGTAGCAAGGATGACAGGCCACCCAAGTAGCTGGGATTACAAGCATACACCATCACATCTGGCAAATGTTTGTATTTTTTTGTAGAGATAAGTTTTCACATGTTGTCCAGGCTGGTCTCAAACTCCTAACCTCAAGTAATCCGCCCACCTCAGCCTCTGAAAGTGCTGGGATTACAGGATTACATGGTGAGCCACCATGCCTGGCCTCAAAGGGTTCTCATGAGGATTAAAGGGAATAATCCAGGAAAGCATTTGGAAGAGAGGCTGGCCCACAGCTAGTGCTCCATGAAAGATGGCTAAGAGAAGTATTTATTGAGAACTTACCATTATAAAAGCATCTGTTCTGTTGGTTTGTTTTTGAGATGGAGTCTTGCTCTGTCACCCAGGCTGGAGTGCAATGGAGCAATCTCGGCTCACTGCAACCTCCACCACCCGGGTTCAAGTCATTCTCCTGCCTCAGCCTCCCGAGTAGCTGGGACTACAGGCATGTACCATCATGCCCGGCTAGTTTTGTTTTTTGTTTGTTTGTTTTGAGACAGAGTCTCACACTGTCACCCAGGCTGGAGTGCAGTGGCGTGATCTTGGCTCACTGCAACCTCCGCCTCCTGACTTCAAGCCATTCTCCAGCCTCAGCTGGGATTACAGGTGACCACCACCACGCCCAGCTAATTTTTTGTATTTTTAGTAGAGACAGGGTTTCACTATGTTGGGCAAGCTGGTCTCAAACTCCTGACCTCGTAATCCACCCACCTCAGCCTCCCACAGTGCTGGGATTACAGTGTGAGCCACTGCGCCCAGCCTAGTTTTGTATTTTTAGTAGACGGGTTTTCACCATGTTGGCCAGGCTGGTCTCGAACTCCCGACCTCAGGTGATCCGCCAGCATTGGCCTCCCAAAGTGCTGGGATTACAGGCATGAGCCACCGTGCTCAGCCCAAAGCATCTGTTAATAAATAAATAAATAGAAAACCAAAACACCTTTTTTTTTTTTTTTTGCCACCAGACCCACCCCCCTACTGTTGTGTTTGGATTTTTTTACGTTTAAAGACAGTTTAATTGCAAGGTTACCATGGCAACTGGGCAAACTGCTTACTCACTCCCATTTTCCACCACTTGTTCCTCCTCTGATCTTCCTGATCCACAGATGGATGTGATGTGACTGTTGTCTCCGGAGCAGCATTGTTCAGCAGGAATGGAAAGCCAGCCCCAAATTCGAACTGCATGTGTAATGTTAAAATTTCTCATTGCGGCCAGCCAGCACTGACCTCAGGTGATCCACCCACCTCAGCTTCCCAAAGTGCTGGGATTACAGGCGTGGGCCATCATGCCCAGCCCAAAGTGTCATTTTTGACATGTGAATCTCCAATCTAGGCTGGGCATGGTAGCGCACGCCTGTAATCCCGGCTACTTGGGAGGCTGAGGCAGGAGAATCGCATGAACCTGGGAGGCAGAGGTTGCAGCGAGCTGAGATTGTGCCACTGCACTCCAGCCCTGGGAGACAGAGGGAGACGCTGTCTCAAAAAAAAAAAAAAAAATTCGAGTTGCTTTTTCTACATCTATTGATAAGAAAGAAAGA